TTGACCTCAGGCTCCATCCGCTCAACGGCATCAATGTACTCTTGACTATCGGCTTCCTCTGCTATCTTGGACAGAGGCGCCTCTAGAGCAAGAACCCGGACCAGAGCCAAGACATTCTTGGTACACAGTTGGACGCACCTCTTCACGAACTCTTGAAAACGAGTCGGAATTCGGGGAATCAACTGAGCCCAAGATTGCCCATCGTCCGCTGGAGTTCGGAGTGCGTCGGCTACTGAACGAAAGGATTTCCATAAAGCTTTCCAGTTCTCGGTAGCCATCGCCAACTTGCTAGATAAGTCTTCAATAGTTCTTTGAGCCTGCACAAGATCTCTGTCAGCTCCACGCCTAATCAGCTTAGCAAGGGCAAGTTCTTCCTCAACATGAGTAATTACCTCCTCAGCCTTGTTATGACTAGAGCAGACAAGAGCCTTCATTTCATCGATACTCTCCGAGAGCTTCTGCTTTTCAACTCGAAGAACTAGACAAGGCACCGAAAAACAAGTCAGCAAAAAAAGAAGTCAAAATACAAGAAGAAACAAGCAGAACCCACGACACCTTTTGCACTCGTTCTTCACAGACTCCACTGCATGGCATCCCTCTCGCTTCTCCGTCTCTACTACCCGGCACGAAAGGGTCTTCTCCTCCTTTGGTGCATTTGACGCCTCTGTCTCCAACTCAGCCGGAGGAGGTCAAGATCACCTTTCGAGCGCTTCACCTCAGAAAACAACTTTTTCTCATTTTCAGATGAGAAAAGGAAGCCAGAATGATCACGAGAGAAAGACTGAGCAAGAAGAGACAAAGAAAAACAAGGCATAAGGACAGGAGAAAAACAAGCATCCAAAGGAGGAGTGGCAGTAAAACTTACCTGGAGCTTTTCACCAAAAGAAGCCGGACTGAGCTATAGCCAAGCTCTTCTTGATAAAGAACCCGGGAACATGCTCGGAGACCTTTCAACGAAGATCATGCATGTCCAGAAACAACTTAGATTGATCGAAAACAACTCATATATTATGTCACTAAGCTCGGGGGCTCGGCCTTCATTTCAACTACTCCCGGAGGCTCGGAATCAAAGACAAAGGACCAAGAATACAAGAAACTCAAGACTACAACAACGACAACACATCAAGACCCTTCTTCCGATTTCTTTTCTAAAGAAAAGAACTCGGAGAAGGCTCGGGGCTGCGGGATACATAGCCCTAGAATTTTTCGAAGACAAGAATCTGGACCCTCCAACTTTTGCAAGCAAAAGCAAGAGGCTCGGTGGCTACACTCAGTGAGTGCAATTTTTACGAAAAATTGCACCCACCCAAAAAGAACTCGGATATAGTATGCTCGAGAGCCCTTCAACGAAGAATCAGAGCAATTTCAGGACAAGACCCTCCAGCTCCTTGTTCCAAATAGTAAGAGGCTCGGGGGCTACACCCAGATGGGAGTACTTTTTTTCTTTAAAAAAGCACACACCACTCGAAGATTCCAAGAAGCGCTATATGGTTTCACTCAAGAAAGCACTCGGGCGACGCTTGTTCCTGCTCGGCATGACCTGGAGGAACAAGACAAGGCTTCCGGAGTTCAACCATGAAGTGCTCGGGGACTTGTCGGTGCGGGACCCACAGGATACCCCGCAAGGAAGAGAGAAGATCTAGTCTAACTAGGATTCTCCTCATGTAATCTTAGTAGTAGTAGTATTTTGTAATCCTACTAGGAACTCTCATTGTAAACCGACTAGGAATCTGACCTCCTGACTATATAAAGGAGGGCAGGGTTCCTAGAGAAGGGAGACCAGGATTTCTACAACACAATCAATCCAACGTAAAGGCTAACGCCGACTGGACGTAGGGCTGTTACTCGACCACAGTCGAGGGCCTGAACCAGGATAAATCGACTGTCTCTTGCGTTCACCGTCGAGTTCCAGATATCTGTTGAAGCTTGAATAATAATCGCGCCGGGGACCCCGTGGCGGCGGCTATCGATGGTGAAACATCGACAATAGCCTTGTATCCTCCCTTCAAAGATACATACGCTGATTTCATCGAAGTACTCCCAAGAAGAGTCATCCATCTCATGACGAGGACCATACATCTCTTTGTAGGTCCAAATTCCGTGAGGTTGTTTGGGGCAAAATGGGCGCCGGCCTTGGACTGTCTTGATGCATTGACCTTGTCACTTCGATTATGCCGCGCTTAAATAGTTCATACCTCATAGCTTTCTCCTCCTCGTTCTTGTAGGTCCTCCCAAACTGTTTCATCCATTCCTCAAACCTCGCCTTCATCGCCGGGTTCATCAACGACGCTCATCATGCCCTCCAGCTTGCTCGGTCTGTTTCACATTCTCCGCTTGGTAGTGGGGCCCTTAGGAAATCTTCTTCAATCATCTCATCATAGTCGCGACCTCGGGATGCCGCATTAGAAAGTTGATGTAGTCACGATCAACCCAAGCAACCTTGCCGCCTTCATCCGTGAACTTTGCTCGATAGTTTGAATCATCAACAGGGGCCTCTTCATGCTAGTCGTCATGACGTTCGTGATCTCCTCGCTCACGGTCACCTCCAGAGATGAAGACGATGACTCATCTCCGTTGGAGTAGAGAATCCCAATCAATGCAGCTATCCCACCACAGGCGGCTAAAGGCGCAGAGAAGCGCCGTCGATGACGCCAAGATCCGGCTGGAGTGTGGAGAGACCGGCGGCCTATGCAAAGCCAACCCTAGGGTTTCCGCTGCGCTGTGGATCGCACCAAGGTGGGGATCCTCTCTGCGTGGCGAGAACCGCCGGCCGAGGAGAGAACCGAGGGCCCGGAGGACATGATCACGATCGCTCTCTGCCGCCACGCCATCGCCACCCAGCTCGCGTCGATTGAAGGGTTTCGCTCTCGCGTTACGTTGCAGGTGTCACGATTGAAGGGTACGTTTAGCTACTCCATCTCACCGCATCACCATGCGCCCAGCAGAGAGGCACACCGCCAAATAACTCACAAGAACGAAGAACGCCTCGGTCCAAATTGCTCAGAGAGCCAGAGCCGAGACAGCCACACCGCCGCTCAGCCCACGAGCTGACCCTCTTAAAAAAACTTGCTATCGCTCGGACGTCTCATCCGGGATGGTAGCGTCGGACGATGCTTCCGCGTACACATACAGATCCCTCGCCCTGCACCAATCCCGCTCCGGAGGACGTGTCTGTCAATCCGTATGGAACTCCCGCGTCTGGGCCCAACGCACGCAACTCGTTCGTCCATGCCCACGCATGCACGGGGACTACTCCGAACCCGCTCCGTTTCCCGTGTCCACATGCATGCACCAGCAGCAACGTAAGCAGGCGGCGCGGTGACCCATGGCGGCGCACTAGCAGTAGCAGGCAATATGTGCCTTCCTGAGATCTACTTTTGAAACATCCAAATAAAACACTTGCAACATACGTCTAAAACAGATGAAACACTTGAAACATATGTGTATAGTCATAGCAACATGTGCAAGACTAGATCTACTTCTGTAACATCCAGATAAACACATTTGCAATATACGTCTGAAACAGATGAAACATTTGAAACATGCGTGTGTAGCCATTGCAACATGTGCAACACCAAGATTTACTTTTGAAACAACCAGATGAAATATTTGCAACATACGTCTGAAACACCTAGAACACTTGAAACATAGCCTTGCAACATGCGTATTTTGTCATTGCAACATATGCAACATTCCATATCTACCTTTTGCAACATCCAGATAAAACACTTGAAACAAAGATCTGAAACACTTGAAACACAGCGTTCGCCGCGCGGCCACGGCCTACCTGGTGGTGAACTGCGCTAGATTGGCGAGGAGGACAGGGAACGGATGGAGGCCACCCTGACGAGGGCGCTGAAGTGGCAACGACGAGGCCCAGCCGAGTAGGGAGCCGTCGCCTAGAGGGGCCCCGCGAGGAGCGGCGTCTCCCAGGCCACCCTGGACGTCGTGGGTTGTTCTAGCACCCTCGCCACCACCATCAGCATGTACCCCATCGGAGCCGACTGGTCGGGCTGCGACGGGGTGGGGGGACAGACACAATAGTGTGGGTGGGTGGGGGAGGAGAGAAGAAAGTGAGCTGATATTTTTTTTAGTTTTTTTTAGCAACGTTGGTCACCGTTCGGGCGGGTGAGGCCCACCAACATGGACGTCATCGGACGTCTTATCCACAGCATTACCGGAAAAAAAAAACGAGCTGACAGGACAGATGCCTAAGACAGGGAACAAAACTACGGAACCGGAAGCAGACCTGAGACCTCTCACTTTGTTTTTTGAGTTTTTCAGTTCAACATCGAGAGGTAGCGTTAGCGTGTGGTGTGCTGGTGCTGTGCCTTCTGTTCTGCACCTTTTCTGAAAACGATCCTACTAGTACTACGAATGATGATACTACTCATACTCATGGTACGTGTCAGTCCTTTTGACGCGTAAGATCAAATCCAGCAATTCAACGGTACTCACTCCGTCACAGAATAAACTCGTATCGCTTCCCGAGTAGTTAATTTTTTAAAAAACTAACTAAAATTATACAAAAATATATTAATATTTATTATGTATAATAAGTATTATTAAATTGAGCATGGATATACTTTCATAATAAAATTATTTGTAGATACAAACAATGATATTTAATTGTATATTCTTAGTCAAACTTAAAAAAAACGACTTCTCGAAAATGAAATTTGCATTTGTTTTGGGACGGAGGAAATATTTTTCTTGGGAGTGTTCGGTTGGCTGTAAAGCCGCTGGTGCTGATTTGTATGGCTGATTTTTTGAGAGATAAAATATTGTACCATAGCTTATAAGCCAACGAATAAGTTGGCCGAACACTCCCTTATTCCTACAGATGGCCTGACCAGACTGTACAAATGCTTGCTACACATCTGTAGCACTAACATGCAGCAAAACGAGCATTTGAGTTCTGAATGACCCTTGAAGGTCGTGCATTACAATTACAACATGCATGATGAGCCGTGCAGAGGCAGCTTCTTGACAAAGCTGAATCAGAAAGTCTCGAAGTCCTTGAGGACCCAACGCCCATCTGCGCCCCTGACCATGCCCTTGTTGAGTGCCACCCGCCACTTGGCCGGCACGGGGTACTCGTCCCTGAGCGCGTCGGCGGCCTTGTTGACGAGCGCCACGTCGCGGTCCACCTCCAGCTTGAACCCTCCTCCGTCGGCGTCGGCGCCGCCGCCGCTGCCCTGCTCCCCGGCCACGCCGTGCAGGTAGCACTCGAGGTTGTGGAGCGTCTGCGGCGTTCCCGGCTGGCGCAGCCACGGGGAGCGCGCCGTGTGGATGGGCAGCGGCACGGCCACGTCCACGTACCCCAGCGGCGGGTACAGCGGCACCACGTCGCCCTGGTTCTTCACGTGCAGCGCCCTCAGGTCCCCGAACGAGGCGAAGGCGGCCTTGAAGAAGGGACCCCCCACGTGCGGGCTCGCGAACACGATGGCCGTCACCGGGGAGGAGGAGGAGGAGGAGGAGGAGGAGGAGGATCCGCCGCCACCGGCGGCGGGCGTGTTGAGGCCGTTGGCGACGATGTCCACGGCGTTGAGGGTGGCGAGCGACGCGCCGAGGCTGTGCCCGGTGACGGTGATGCTCGTCTCCTCGTGCTTGTACAGCTCCATCAGCCTCCTGATCTCCTCAAGAACCTGCACGCATGTTACATACTTTGATCGTTCAATAGGAGGACTACCTTTAGGCAGCTATCAATCGGCCAATTAATCTGGGATAAACCAAATAATCAATTGCTTCAGACAAGGAAAATGGCATGTAGCTTTCGAGTTTCGTGCATCCGATAGCTAATCCGGGTGTCCCTCTCGTGGGTTGATGGCTGAAACATCAGAGGCTGAAATGCTTGAAGGAATAATCAACGAGATACTCTAGCTGAGATCATCGAGATGCCATGGTGTCTTCCCGCAGAATACATTGGGAGCATATATAGTTATCGGCCAATCCGTAGCAGTAGCTGAGGCACTGATTTCTATTACAATCATTAATCGTCAGAAAACAACCATGATCGAACCTACAATTGGTCCACCAGCAGTGACAGGGAAATAGCGAAGGTAATGCTTCAGTCACGCCAAACTTATTAGTATTGCAAGTCAATATTAGATAGAAGAAGTCACGTCAGTTTTAGTCAGTAACCACCATGTGGAGACCCGGTACAAGTGTTGCAGACTTGCAGTGAAAAAAATGCGTTCATTTGAATGTGGAAAGGATAAAAGAGTTGAAAACCATGAGCACCAAAATCAGAATTACGTGTGTGAGTTCATGTTCATGCATCCTATTCCTACGTTAGTTTAGACTAGTGATGTACCACGGATCGAACAACAACACAATGTCTCTGCAAATTATGTGCAGTAATGCAGTATTAAGAATCAATAATTTTTTTCATAGAACTAAGCTCAGTATAGTAAGATTTGTTAGATTTCGTTTTTAGACATGTTCATCAGATCGGGATGTATTGGTAGTAGGAATAGGTGTTCAGGATCACAGAGAGACAGAGAGAAAGGGGTGATAGGTTGCAAACCATCAAAAGCCGTAGCGGTCGAAGCTCCGGCCGGGTTTTCATTGACGGACGCCATCTGCGCGCCGGCAGCGACGTTCGGTGGAGAGGGAGTCGGCGCTGTGGCGTCCTCGGCGGCGACGTGTGCGTCGGGGTGGCGTTGCCGGCGTCGGTGGTGTTTCCCGTCGCTGGCAGCGCCCCTTCTCAAGATCGGGTCTAGGGTTAGGATGTCGGTTGGGTGACTGGCGGCGCGGTGAACCTCGTACTGCGAGCCCCGACCCCCACCTTTTCTTTATAAGATATTTGTCATGACGGGGTCCACCAACAATATAGGGTTGGGCGCCCCGATCGTATGCCGAGATAAGGCCCGCTTAGGCCGTTGGGCCTAACTCGGTGGGAGATCAATCCTAACATTCTCCCCCTTGATCTCTCATCTATTCTTCGTTCTTTAATTTCATACTCAAAACTTTCAATTCATATTTTTCTTGCTTCCATCCTATTTCATCACAGATTAGTGCATAGAACTGTCCCATCGTCACAGCAATTAGTGTCGTTAGACTAACAGCCACAATACACTTCTCCGTTTTGAAATGTAAACTTTCTTTGGGCCCTTCGTATGTTCGAGAATCATAGGCTTTCCCTTAAACCCATGCCGGCTACGTGTTCTCTGAACATGTTGGGTGGTAAGCCCTTTGTGAGCGGATCCGTGAGCATTTTCTCTGTACTTATATGCTCAAGATTTATTATATGATCCCGAACTTTATCTTTCACAACATAGTACTTTATGTCAATGTATTTGGCAGCACCACTTGACCTATTGTTGTGAGCATCTCGCATCACCGGATTGTTATCACGATACAATCTCGATGGGTTCATTTATATCATCAATCACTTTCAATCCAGTATGAATTTCTTCACCAATTCACCCCCTGCTGCCTCATAGCATGCTACAAACTCGGCATACATTGTCGAGGATGTAATCACGGTTTGTTTGGAGCTTTTCCACGATATAGCCCCTCCCCGCGAGAGTAAATACATATCTGGACGTGGATTTTCTTTCATCTCCCGCATAATCGAATCTGAATACCCCTCTATCTGCGAGGGAATCGATCTTCTATACGTAAGCATGAGGTCTTTCGTACCCTGCAAATAACGCATGACTTTCTTCACTAATTTCCAATGTTCAATTCCTGGATTCTTTTGATATCCGCCAAGTAACCCAAAAATAAAAGCTAAGTCGTATGCGTGTACACACTTGAGCATATTGTAAACTTCCAACAAATTGAAGCATACGGTACCGCTTTCATTCGATCAATTTCATATTGGTTCTTGGGACATTGATGTTCCCCAAATCTATCGTCCTTGACTATAGGAGCGGTGAAGGATCTGCACGCATTTATGCATACTAAATTTCTTCGAAACCTTTTCTATGTATGCCTTTTACGATAATCCTAGAACCCCTTTTCTCCTGTCTCGGTGAATCTCTATTCCCAAAACGAACGAGGCCTCACCAAGATCTTTCATATCAAAGTTTGAGGACAAGAATTTCTTCGTTTCCATTAGCAGATTGATATCACTACTAGCAAGCAAGATATCATCCACATACAAAATTAGAAATATGTACTTTCCATTTCTGAACTTTGCATAAACACAATTGTCCTCAACATTTTCTTCAAACCCAAAACCTTTTATCGTTCTATCAAACTTCAAATACCACTGTCTTGAAGCTTGCTTCAATCCGTAGATTGATTTCTTCAGGCAGCATCCCATATTTTCCTTTCCTTTTACGACAAAACCTTTTGGTTGTGCCATATAAACATTTTCTTCCAAATCCCCATTTAGGAAAGCCGTCTTTACATCCATTTGATGTAACTCCAAATCATAGTGGGCTACAAGTGCCATTATAATTCTGAAGGAATCTTTACATGAGACTGGAGAAAACGTCTTATTGTAATCAATCCCTTCTCTTTGCGTGAAGCCTTTCGCCACAAGTCGCGCTTTAAATCTTTCTATATTCCCTTGGGAGTCATATTCGTTTTGTAGACCTATTTACAGCCTACTGTTTTGGCTCCTTTAGGAATATTTTCTAAGTCCCAAACTTTATTGGTACTCATTGATTTCAATTCATCTTCCATGGCCTTAAGCCACTTTGATGAGTGGTCGTTTCTCATGGCTTCTTCAAATGAGGTGGGATCATCCCCCATCTGACATTCTTCTGTTTCATAAACTTCATAGTCATTAGTAATAGCTGATCTTCTTATTCTTTGAGACCTTCTAGGTGCCTCCGGCACTTGTTCCACATTTGGCTGTTGTTGTTCTTTCTCATGTGCAACATTTGGTTCTATAGGTTCCTCAAGGATAGGTTCCTCAAGGACAGGTTCCTCATGTTCATTTATTATCGCCACGGGAGAACTTGCAACAGGTGTTGGCACTACAGTGTCCTGCACTGTCGGTGCAACAGCAGCAGGTAGCGTGAAGAATGGTTCTTCAACCATCGGAGTGGGTACATGTACCCGCTTCTCCTGTAGGCTGATTTCTCGTGCTACCATGCTCTCCCTAATCATGTTATCCTCCAAGAACACAGCGTGTCTTGTTTCTACAATCTTCGTATGTCTGTCAGGACAATAGAAGCGATATCCTTTCGATCTTTCTGGATAGCCAATAAAATGGCAGCTGACTGTCTTGGAGTCTAACTTTCCTATGTTTGGGTTAAACACTTTTGCCTCAGCTGGACAGCCCCACACACGCAAATAGTTGAGTGAGGGTTCCCTTTCTGTCCATAATTCATACGGTGTTTTAGGCACCGATTTACTTGGTACTCGATTAAGTATGTGAATGGCGATTTTCAGTGCCTCCATCCATAAACTAATCGGTAATGTGGAGTAACTCATCATGCTTCTTACCATATCTATTAAGGTACGGTTACGTCTTTCAGCCACTCCATTCTGCTGAGGCTCCCCCGGTGTGGAGTACTGAGCAACTATGCCATTTTCCTGTAGGAACCTTGCGAATGGTCCAGGAATTTGGCCATATGGGGTATGTCGCCCATAGTACTCTCCACCTCGGTCTGATCGTACTATCTTGATTTTCTTATTGTGCTGATTTTCAACTTCAGCTTTAAATATTTTGAATTTATCCAATGCTTTCGATCTTTCTTTAATTGGATAAATATTGCCATAACGAGAGTAGTCGTCTGTGAATGTTATAAACGAGTCATAACCATTCACACTTTTCACAGGAAAAGGACCACATATGTCTGTGTGGATTATTTCTAAAATTCCTGTGCTTCGTTTGGCATCTTTCTTAATTTTCTTGACATACTTTCCTTTGATGCAATCAATACATTGTTCTAAATCTGAAAATTCTAAGTGCGGGAGAATTGATTCCTTAACCAATCGTTCCATTCTTCCCCTCGAAATATGGCCCAAGCGACAATGCCATAATTTCGAAGAGACAGTATCAATTCTCTTCCGCTTCTTAGTTACATCCGTAGATGTGGAATCATTCACACTCTCATCACATACATTGTTCGCATTCTCAGCAAGAGATAATAAATAAAGCTTGTCTTGTCGGAAGGCAAGACCAACACATTTATTATTAACCAGTATTTTACACTTGCCATCACCAAAATGGCAATCAATTTCATCATCATCAAGTTTCGAAACACTTATCAAATTTTTACGCAAAGAGGGAATATAAAGTACTTCTTTAAGTCTAAGTACAAAACTATTATTCAATTCTAAAGAAAAATCTCCAATGGCTTCAACATTGGCTTGCACTCCATTTGCAACTTTAATCGTTCTTTCTCCTCTTTGCAAGGTTCTCGTCCCACTTAACCCCTGTAAAGAATTTGCAACATGAGTAGTTGCTCCTGAATCAACCCACCAAGTGGATTTATCATAACATAAATACAGAGATTCATCTATAAATGTAATAAATTCATCACCTTTCTTTAGCAGAGATTTCAGGAAGTCTGGACAATCCCTCTTGTAGTGTCCCTTCTTGAAGCAGTGCTTGCACTGATCCTTTTCAGCTCCACCATACTGCTGATTCTCAGAATCCTAGGGTTTCTTTTCCTGTGAATTGGAGGAAGAGGCCTTATCCCACTTAGGTTTTCCTTGTGGTTTAGAATTCTTGCCATTAAAGTTCTTTCTTTTGTTATCCTTCACAAAATGAGCAGATTCACCTTGTGAGGACTTTATCCTCTCCTCTTCTTGAGCACACATTGAGATGAGTCTTTCTATGCCCCATCTTTCAGGCTGCATATTGTAGTTCACAATAAAGGTGTCATATTCTTTTGGCAAAGAAGCAAAAATCAAATGAATCAGGAAATCCTTCTCCTTCAAATTCATTTCTTTTAGCTTAGAAGCCGTAGTGTTTATCTTCAAAATGTGCTCTCTTATGCTACCACCAGTGAATTTTTTATTCACAAGCTTCTTAATCAGTGAACTTGCTGTGGCCTTGGTAGACCCAGTAAACTGACTCTTGATTTTCTCAAGATATTCTTTGGCAGTAGCACATTTAGGGATTAAGCCCCTTATCTGTTCTTCTATGGTGGCTTTGGCTACCAACAGGTACTTGCGGTTGGAGAGAGTCCATTGCCTATGTTCAAGGTCATATTTCATTCTTATTTCAGCATGATCACGCTTTCGAGCAGCGAAATCAGCGTCAGTTTCATTGTCACCTCTCACCGGGTTCTCTAGCTCAGTAGGACACGATGAGGTGATGACAAAATCGATCTCTCCCAACGCAAGTTCCAATTCATACTTCTCCCGCCACACACGGTGATTGGTTCCGTTGAGTGTCGGGATGTTGGCAGTGTTCACAATGCATTTGCCTCCTGAAATTATACCAGAGTAAGTAAGAACATTTATACATAAAGTTTCATGCTTTAACTCAACGTTGGTCAAATTAAAACTTATAATTCATCCATGCAAACATTTTACATCATCGTTGGGCAGAAGTAAAATTAATGCACAATTTCTCATGGATCAAAATTATAATATTGTTATTAACAACGTTGGTCAGAAAATAACAATATCATAATCGCATCAAAATTATCAGAAATTTATTTCTCTTAAAATTAAATTATCCCGTTGGTTCAAATTTAATTAAAGAGAATAATAATTATCATGCACAGCGAAAACATTAATAATCTTTTCATATTATTATTTTCTAGAAGCACTAAAAAATTCACTGTTTTCTGAGCAAAATATCGTTGGATAAAATTTGCACAGAAAATTGTATCAAAATCATTCAAATTCATCAAAAAATATGCATTAAAATTGCTCCTAGAAAATAATAAGAAAATTTATTTCTTCCTTCTTTCATTTCAGCCCGGCACGGCCCAAGACGCGCTGAAAACGGCTCGGCCCAGCTGTCCTCGCGCGCACAGGCCGCACCCAGGCCGCAACCTGGGCCTGGGCCGGCAAAGTGCCGCGCGCCCTCGCGCCCGCCTAGGCTGGCGAGTTGGCCCAGCGAAACTCGACCGTTCGATCTGATCCGACGGCCGAGCGACCGTTTCGCGCGGATCAAAAGCGTCTCCGCGGCCGGCGCCCTGGAAACCCTAGCCATTCGACCCTTCCCTTTCTCTCTCTTCTTCGCCGCTCTCTCTCATCTCTCTTCAGCCGCAGCAGCGAGCCGCAACCAAGAGCGAAAGAGCGACGAGCGAGCGGTCCTTTGCGTCGTCGCCGGCCCCCTCGCCGGCGCGCATGCTCCCCAACGGGTGAGCACGCCGCCGTCGAGCGGCCTGGCCACGGTGCTCCCTTGGCCGAGCCCGGCGAGCCCGCGCCCCCGGCTCGGCTTCTTCTCCCGCGCCGGCGAAAAAGTTCATCCAATGCACCCTAACCCTACCTCTACTTTCCCCTTTCTTTCTTTGAGTTGTTCTTTTCGGGTTTATCCGAATGGGGAAAAAACTAGGGTTAGGGTTAGGGTTTGTTCTTGCCGATTCGGGTTAGGGTTTGTTCTTGCCGTTTCGTTTTCTTTGCTTTTGATTTCTTTCTTTTCGTTCATCCGAATGGAAAACTTAGGGTTAGGGTTAGGGTTAGGGTTTCGACCCTTCTTTCTTTCTTCTTCCCCTTTTCTCTCTTTCGGATTTGTGTCTAGGGTTCTCGGAATCTGACCCTCCCATTTTCCCTTCTTTCGATTTGATTTGGGAAATTAGGGTTAGGTCTTAGGGTTCGGCTTTCTATTTTCTTTCTCGATCCGCATCAGATCGGTCGGTTTCACTCACCCGATCTGATTTCTTGTCGAACCGTGGCTCCGGTACCATTGTTAGATTTCGTTTTTAGGCATGTTCATCAGATCGGGATGTATTGGTAGTAGGAATAGGTGTTCAGGATCACAGAGAGATAGAGAGAAAGGGGGTGATAGGTCGAAGCTCCGGCCGGGTTTTCGTTGACAGACGCCATCTGCGCGCCGGCAGCGACGTTCGGTGGAGAGGGAGTCGGCGCTGTGGTGTCCTCGGCGGCGACGTGTGCGTCGGGGTGGCGTTGCCGGCGTCGGTGGTGCTTCCCGTCGCTGGTAGCGCCCCTTCTCAAGATCGGGTCTAGGGTTAGGATGTCGGTGGGGTGACTGGCGGCGCGGTGAACCTCGTACTGCGAGCCCCGGCCCCCACCTTTCCTTTATAGCGCTGTGCGATGGGGGCCCACTAACCATGTAGGGTTGGACGCCCCTGATCAGGGCACAAGGACAAGGCCCAGTTAGCCCGTGGTGGGAGATCAATCCTAACAAGATTGAATGAAATTCTCCAAATGAAACTATTAAAGTGATATTGATACCGATCCACATGCCTGGTCTCTGGCGCTGAGCTTGTTGTACTTGGGGCTGGCGTTGCTGGACGTGTAGAGCGACAGGAACCCCCTGTGCACCATGGCGCGCGGGTGCGCGGGTGCGCGTCCGCCGCGGCGCCCAGCACGGGCGCGGCGGGCACCGGCGTGAAGTCGAGGTCGTTGACCCACTCCAGGCTCCGCACCGTCCCGCGCCACGCCACCACGACGTCGGGCCGCCCCAGCGCGGCCGCGCCCTCGTCCGTGGCCACCGCCACGTACCCCATCCAGTTGGACTCCCTGCACCACGGCTCCTGCCCCTGCAGCCCCGGCTGCGGCAGGAGCAGGAACGCGTCGGGCACCTGCAGCCCCGACGTGGCGTACACGAACTTGGTCACCCTGTACCAGTTGCTGCCGCCGGCGCTGGCGGCCAGCAGGTCCGCGAGGCCGTACACGCACGCCCCCGCGTGCGGCGACCGCGCCTCCGTGTTAAACCCGTCGTAGGTGACCTGCGCGAGCTCGCCGTAGGAGATGACGGACGAGCGGAGGTCGATGTCGAGAGGGTCCAGGAGGCCTTTCCATGAGTCCTTGCCATGGAGCTCGCGCCACCTGCTGGCTATGCTTCCAGGCACCATCGCCGATGGAAGCCGGTTAGCGAGCGACGACTCGTCTTGGCTACAATATAGTATTGTAGCTCACAAGCGCTTGGTTCAGGAATTCAGGTTTCTTTGCTTTTGCTTGGTGCCTTAGTGTGTATTTGTATCACAGAATCACTACACGCAGATCGCTTCAATGTGGTTTTACTCGGTCACCTACTTATAGCACACTTAGGCCCTGTTCGCTTGAACTTATCAGTCATACTTTTTCAACGAAATAATAGTATTTTTCTCTCATAACAAATCAGTATCAGCCGTTTTTCCAGCCAGCCGAACAGGGCCTTATCTTTTAGTGATATGCCATTTTTTATTTGCGAGGTTTTCATTAACGTGTCTATGTACACTCGTCGACTAAGTATGCCCAAGTATGTTATAGGAAACTAGTCGGCAACTACATTTGCGGGTTTATAGAAATACTCCTGCTTTCAAAATTATTTTATTTCATGACGTGTATACATATCTTAAAATTGAAAGCTTGTAACTTCTGACCAGTATGCAGGCCAATAACATATATTAGCTTATTGATGATTGATGTAGATAGAACCGATACAATTATACTCAATGCGTATTTCTACAGTTATGATAGATCAGTATGTATAGACTATAATAGTCGTATTGCTCACCAGCAGGATTGTAGCTGTAACCGTTTCCAACAACTAGAATCAGAACGGGCACAGAAAGCATCCATGTTAATCAGCCCGGCCTGTGGCCCGGTCCGTAAGAATGCAGCGTTCCACGGCGACTGTATGGTCTGGGCTGATCGCTCCAACTAGTGTTGGGCCCTTCCCGACACGTGCGCGAGAGAGGAAGGCCCATCCGCGTGTTTCTTCTTCCCCGTGTTCAAAGCGGGGTTTCAAACGTAACGTAACAGAGAAGAACCACGACGCCCGCCGCGGATTAGTGTTCCTCTCGAGTCCCGACCACGGCTACCGCCTCGGCGCCTCCGATTATTTGTCCACCGGGCAGTCCGGCACTGACCCACCCAGGATCGCAGCTCTCGTGAAGTTCGAAAATCACATCCACGTTTCGAATAGGGTTTTTGCTTGCTCCGAGAGAGAGAGAACAGAACGGATCGAAGCGCTCCGCAATGTACGGCCAGCACCGCGACGGCAATGGCGGCGGTGGCCGCGGAGGTGGCGGCAGCGGCGCCGGCTTCCTGTGGGGCGGCCTCGCGTGCTGCTGCGCCGGCGCGGGGTGCTACCTAGCGGGGAGGAGCTATGCTCGGTACGTACTACGGCCTCCTGCTTGCACGCACGCTTTTTTGCCCTCTCCTTTCCTGTCGATTACACAGCTACTCCTGCCGTCCTGCGTCGTGGTTGTGGGTTTCCTTGTGCTGAAAGCATGGTTGCTTGCTTCGTGCCTGCAGGAGCGCCAACGAGCTGCGATCGGCGCGCAGGTTCTCCCGCATCTCTGATTTGTGTGAGTATCCGTTTGCCGAATTGCCGATGGTTGTTTATTTTGCTAGTGACTAGTGAGTTTGCTTGGTGATCAGATAAGATAGCGGCTAATTTCCTACTCATATGCATTAGAGGTTTTTTATGTTTTAAATATAATTGCCAGCGGTGGTGACAGAACTGCTAAATCATATAACCCTTGTTGATTGACCATCAAACCAATTAGTTAGACAGGTAGGGAACGATAATTTCAGGTGCCACCTGCTATATATAACCTAACCAGGAGCTTGGTTTTTGTAATTCGTTAGTTTAATCCTAAAGAGTACGATGTCCCACTTCTGACACCAATACTGTATTGGTAGTATCTTTTAAGCAAGAGTCTTGTTGGCATGTTAGAAGACAGATTCAGTGGTCTGATAGATTATCTGAGCAGCATCAGTGCTCTGACTTTATACTGTGTGTCTTTGACAGCTATGACGCTGGCCGCCTCATCCGCATACCTTCCTCTTGTAACTCTCTCTGGAAAAGTTGGATCAGACACATCAATCATAGGTGAACAGAGTGGTCAGGAGGCTGCAATTGTAGTAAATGATGTATCTACTGATTTCACAAAAAGCCTATGTTCGTTGAAGATGTGTTCACCTTCTTGTGCTTTCAGTTACGTGTCTCAGTGTCTGCCATTTTTGTAGGTAACTCAGATCTTCTTGAAGAAGGAGAAGAACAGGAAGGATGTCAAGGAATACATAGTGGTGAAGAAGACAAAGGAGAAAGATGGCACTGACCACTTATTCCTCAAGAATAAGGAAAATGATGATCCCGAACAATGGATACGATGTTCTGAGGAGATATTTTCGAGAAAAAAAAGAGGTTCCTTGGTATCTGGTAATTTGCTGCAACTAGCTCTAGCTTGATTGCGATGTTGATGCATATAATTTCAGGCGGCCTTCCTTTAAATGCCTTATTGCACTTCTATCATTCTATACTTACTCAATGATTTTTTTTTTTTTTGCCTACGAAGAAAAAAACCTGTTACATTTAGCGATTTGTGTAGACATAGATTTATGCTTGTGGATTATATTCACCCATAAATAATTTATGGCATTTTGTATACCATTTTTCTGTTTCCACACTCCACTGTCTACTGTCTAATCTTATCTTCTTTTGAGCATCTAATTAGGTGCTACAGTATCTATCATGTGAGTCCGGCTTTAAAATTTCCTGTTCAAATATTCTCTGATATCTTGCTTTTACTAGGATGATGGTACTGGCCGGTTGGAGATTGTCAGGGATCGTAGCACAGATGGTTCTCTTTTGTGCCTTGCAGGTGAGGATTTTGAGAAACAACCTCGTTCATGTGGATGTGAATGCTCAATCAAGGTCAGCTAACATAACTTAAACTTTATGTTCTGCTACCAGCTGGAACATATTTGTAATATATTTTTCTGCAGCTACTTGGGGCCAGTTTGGTTGCTAAAAATATTGGCAAAACGATACTGTAGCGTTTTCGTTGTTATTTGGCAATTAGTGTCCAATCATAGTCTAATTAGGCTTAAAAGATTCGTCTCGTCGATTTCGTCTAAACTGTATAATTAGTTTTATTTTTTATTTATATTTAATGCTTCATGCATGTGTCCAAACACTGGTAGAAAACAGAGCTTTACTCCCGGTGGGGAACCCACTCTAGTCCCGGATCCCCACCCGGGAGTAAGCATCCAGGACTAAAGGGGGGTCCTTTAGTCCCGGTGGGTAATACCAACCGGGACTAAAGGTCATCCCAGCTTTAAAAAAAATAATGCCTCCCACCGCTACGTCCCGTGAGATTCGAACCCAAGACCCCATGCATTGTCTCGCGCGTAGCTTACCACCCCACCTACACAACACATCTAACAATGGATGTGATGCTTCCCTTTTAAACTAACCCATCGGGAGACCTTTAGTCCCGGTTGATCCCGGTTGGTGTTACCAACCGGGACTAAAGGTTGAGGACTTTTAGTCACGGTTGGTGGCTCCAACCGGGAGTAAAGGTCCACCTTTAGTCTCGGTTGGTGTCTTCAACCGGGACTAAAGGTCCTCTGCCACTGTGCCGAGCACAGTAGCCGTTGGGCAGGGACCTTTAGTCCCGGTTGGAGACACCAACCTTCAACCGGGACTAAAGGTCTCTCTAGTTCCGGACGCAAAAAATACCGGGACTAGAGCCCATTTTAGCATCGGGTGAAAAGTCTGTTCTCTGCTAGTAAAAGATTCGATGTGACAGAAAATCTTAAAAATTTTGGTATTTTGGGAGGGAACTAAACAGGCCTTGACTAAGGCGAACTGAATGGATTCTTCCAATCGGTGATAAGTTAACTGTTGTTGGCGAGGTAATACTCATAAGTTCACTTAGGTAGAAATGTGTTGGTAGACCTGCGGGAGTCTTCTGTTTTGTCATATTTATTTATAGTCTATATTTTGGTATTTTTTCATGTAATTGGAACAGGCTGTCAAAGACGAGTCTGGTAAAATTCTGATTAAACGTCCAACAAATGGTGGACCGTTTCATGTTACAAGAAATAGCATTGATAAAGTTGTTTCAAATCTTGGGAGTGACGCGAGGTACCAAGACGCTTCATAATACACTTCCGGAAACCGGCACTTTGCCGAATGCCGGAGGCTTTGCCGAATGTATTTTATCGGACACTCGGTAAAGACGGACTTTGCCGAGTGCCAAATAAAATACACTCGGTAAAAAAAACACTCGACAAAATGCGTCTTTGTCGAGTGTCTTTTTTTTTGGCACTCGGCAAAGATGTATTTTGCCGAGTGCTATTTTTCGGCACACGGCAAAATGCGTCTTTGCCGAGTGCCTTTTTTCTGGCACTCGGCAAAGATGTATTTTGCCGAGTGCTATTTTTCGGCACACAGCAAAATACGTCTTTGCCGAGTGCCTTTTTTCTGGCACTCGGCAAAGATGTATTTTGCCGAGTGCCTTTGTTTTGGCACTTGGCAAAGAGGCATTTTGCCGTGTGTATTTTTTTTGGCCCTCGGCAAATCAGTTTTTCAAAGCAATTTTTGAGGCCCTAAATGAATTCAAATAAAAAACTTTTCAACTATAAAGTTGTATAACTTTTCAAGATCTACAAAGTTTATTTTGGTTATTTCTTCATTTAACAAAGCGACAATAACGTTGTTCATAAAATCTACATCTCTCTCATATCTCTCATATTAATTTCATGAAAGTAGAAGAGAGATATATAAGATTTATGAACAAAGTTACTACCACTATGTTGGATGAACAAATGACCAAAATAAACTTTGTAGATCTTGAGAAGTTATGAAATTTTGTAGTTGGCAACATTTTGATTTGAAATCATCTTGTCATGCAAAAACGACGTTTGAATTTGAAAATTTTAAAATTTGAATTTTTCAAAAAACCTCAGATGGAAAAACTTTCTAAATAAAAATAATAGATCTCCAAAAGTTACGAAACTATGTAGTTGACAACTTTTTGATTTAAAATCATCTTATCATGGAAAACTACGTTTGAATCTCTCAAATTTGAAATTCGAATTTTTCAAACGACCTCGGATGAAAAAAATTTCTAAATGA